CGCGAAGCGGCTTTATAAATAGCTGCTTTATGGAGCGAGGAGCTTGCGCGCGGGTTTCGCATGAGGTGCCTAATATGCCTCGGCGATTATTCCTGGCGCCAGCGCGCAGTGGGCCTCCTCCGGGCCCCCCGTCTAATGGCAGACGGTTAATGGGAAGTTAATGTCTGCCGTGTGCTAACTACGGGACCGGTCTTTCTTCCTCTTTCCACGAGTCCCCTCGCTCGCCGCGCTCTGCGCGGCTGCTATTCCGCTTTTTCCTTCCTCTCATCCCCCGCCCTTGCACGCTTCTCCTTTTCCCGTCGTCTCCCCCCCGGCCTCCTCGTCCTCCGATCACACGTGTGCCCCGCGATTCTTTTCTCCGCGCACATTGATTGCAGCGAGATGAATTACCCCAGGGTGTAATTGAGCAGCTCTAATTGCGTGTACTGTTAGAAGATGACTTGATCCTGATCACTTGATGGCGCGAATAAAGTTTATTTATAGCCGCGCGTGCAGGTGTTTCGACGGACATCTTCTAACGCGCACGTTATTCCGGAATTTTTCATCGATCGTATTTTTATCTTCGATTGGATACATTCGCCGACCATTTTCTCATTCTGCGAAACTTTCTACGAATGTACATTTTGCACATTTGTAAATCCTTACAAATTATTTAGCCGATAAATATTTATTCCTTTGCTCACGCTGAGCTTAGGGCGGTTCGCATAATCTATCCGGTATATACGTCGCGTACAGCATACGAGCAAAGTTACAAAATGCTTGAAGTGACCAAGCGAGCTTCGCGGACATTCTCACGTTTTCTTCGCCAATGCCGATACCGGTGATGGATTCGTAATCGCCGGTTTCTGTTTGCAGATTTTACCTTCTAGCGCGGCGGCGACGCCGTGAGAGAAGACCGTCGTTGTGCCGGGAATAGAACCGGCCCCTTGGTCGATGCACCTCGACAAGAAACGAGTCGGTGCACCGCAATACCGACGTCTCTTCGTCTATGACGCCCATATTGTGTTTCCGAGCTTTCCGTCGGTCTGATCGGCGCAATCATCTCCCGATCCGATTAGTCGCTGCTTCCTTTGTTCATTCGAACAAACTCCGAACAACCGTGCCATCGGATTGCGCCCGCGGGTTTCTGGATGTACGGTCGCGTGACGGCGGAGATCCTTTGTCCTGTCCGTCTTTGCGCGAAAGCGGCGTCCTTTGTCTTATCAATCCTCCGCGTTATTCCGCCGATCTCGCGAAAACGAAGAAAGACGTCGGTCTTGTCGCTCTTGCGAATTTTTAATTACGTTGATTGTTGGACAACGTGAATAAAATAAATTCATATATTTTTTTGAGTTTCGATTTTTTCAAGAATAAATGATAAAAAGTTAATTGATAATTATGAATTGTAATACAACAAATTATATGAATAATAATAAAATATCTTTCGTTGTTCGAAAAATAATTTCTGCAAAATTTAGTAATTTTTTGCTAAGAACTGTTTCATAAATTATTGATACTAAATTAACATGTCATATAATGAATAATAAAAAAGAGGTAATTCACTTCCGATTCTTGCATTATTCGCGCACATATGCGCGACACTGTGCTGCAATTAAATATACGACATAAATCTATCTGAGGGTTTCCTCTTCGTTTCGTGACATCCGCTTAGCATCACCGATGCATGATTACGCGTGCTGCGTGAACGTATTGAGTTATAGCAGGAGGACACGTTATTGATTATATTCTGATTAAAATTTAATTAACATTTCATCGACTGATCGCGCGCTGCGGCGCGCATACGAGATTAATTTTGCGAAATTTTCACGTGATTTAATTGGGTAGATATATTAAAAATTTGTTTGAAAAACATTGTGTAAAACAATTTGCAAAAAAATCATTGAACAAGATAACCTAAAAAAATATTTTTCATCTTTGAGATGTCTAGATGTGCGGTAACATTTTTCTCATGGCAAAGAAACACTACGTACATTCGCTAACGGAGTCTCCGCGATCTCAAAATCTGCATTTTATTTTTTCTCTTGATCTTCCTCACAATGTCTTAATTATCATAATAATTGCAACGGTCATTCCATGAGAGACGCAAAAGTTCTCACGAACTTTGAGAACGTGCACACTTTTTTTTCATTAATTATGTTCAACGTTCTGCGTTTTTGTGATAAAATTAATTAATTTTGTTCGCGTTCTGCGTTTTCGCGAATAAAATTGTAAAACACTCTTTCTCAAACGACTTGTACTTCAAACTTGTACTAAAACATTTGTATTCTCAATAGTGTCTTCGCTCTCTGGTAAATTCAAGCGGAAATATAGCTGATATTTAGCATTTCTAATAAAATTTTGAAATAAGAAGATTTCATCCAATCTGCAACGTATAAATCTCTCCATTTTTTTTACAAATTCACAATTTGCGCTTTTACTTTTTTTTTTTAGATATATTTAAGTTACATTAAAGTTTCTCGATATATGAGAACAATGTACTTTAAAATTTTCGTACACTTTAAGTATCTCGAATTGAGATCGGTGTACAATTTAACTGTCTCTTGTAGACTAATTTACTAATTTCTTTAAGAAAAATTAAAAATTTAGCACGAACATCCTGCAACGGCTCTTATCGCCATTTTCATTATTTATCGTTTGTTAAACACATATGGAGCCTTCCATTATATGTAGTTTAAAGTTTTAGATATATTTGTTCCTTTGAAAACACAATATCACTCTTTGCGAAAGCAATCAATTAGATTAGAAACTGTTGCCACGAAAGGTGTATAGTGCTAACGAACGTACGCAACGCTCGAATGGGGCGGAAGCTCGAGTTTGCTCAACAATTAGCCGCTCGAGGGGCTTCGAGTGGCATTCACGGATAAATGCGGTATATTTGCATTTAGCATATACCGTGCGTATATATTCCGTGTGTATGTTGTTCTTTTTTTTGTAAACGAGTAGAACAACGAAAAAAAAGGTGAATCTGCGGCCGTGCAAACGAGCAAAGTTGAATTTTTCGCAAATTTGCCTGCTGCTGTATTAATGATAAAACGATTCAACGAAATAACATCGGTAACAAAACGCACATACGCGAAGAAAGTGAAAATCTTGATTTTCTACACATCTATCTAGAAAATTGCTTTTCGCGTGATTTTTATTTTTATTGTTTTCATAACGTTTGAAAAGGTGTTTGCCACCCTAAACTATTCGCGATCTACCTCGTTCGCTTTGTACGCGGGATGCGCTCTCGGCAACACGTGACAGGAAGTACAATTTTACGAAATTATGTCGGTGAGCGTACCGGCGCGGGCACGAACGCCGTAACTCGATCCGCGTGATCGTAAATCGTCTTAACCCTGAAGGACGCGTGCACCACACACGGACTCGTTAACGCTCATCCGCGTATCTACATGTTAAAAGTAACGAGCGCAGCTCAAATATGCCGTATATATTTTGAAGGTTCAAATGGGTACAAAAAAATTAAAGTAATTAAATAATAATAATTAATTTTCCATCGCACTCTGATCCGTTCTTTCGCATCATTCGTTACTTACTTCCTGGCTGCTCTTTCACCTCGTCGCCCGCAGCGTCGCCGAATGCTGCCGCCGTCGAGGCGGGCGGTTCGGCCGATTCTATGTAAAAGAAGCACGTGATACCGTCCACAAACTCGCAATGATCATTCCGTACCGTTATTCTTGGTCAAGGTTTTCTCTCGCCGAGATCGAATCGAAATATCCCGTTCTCCCCGCGTCGATCGTGCCCGATCGAATCCGTGGTCCAACGACCTCGTCGTCTTTTCTCTGTCGCTCTTATCGCTTGTAAACAACGACGTGAGAACAGCCGAATTTGCATGGAAATTAACCAAGCCCCTCCGTGGAATAATTTTTTCCAAAAAGATTTATGCGAATTCTTGAATACATATTGCTCATGTATTACGGAGTGGAACGAATAAATTTCTCACTCTTCTCTCGTACGAGTCATTGGCTTCAAATTTCCTATGTAGAGAATATTGAACGCGAAATATCCCAACCACTATCTTACAAACAATCTCGAGTGCGAGAATGGATTCCGAAATGCAATTACCGCCGCTCCTTCAGATTCGTCCCCGCGAGGATTACGTAAAACCAGAGATTTCCAATAACCGCAACGACACGCGGACAACACGTGAAACGTCCACACTGCCTCGAAAGCCCATTTCTCCGTCAAACCGAGCACGTCCTGCGGTAATGTTTTGTTACCGTGCCGCAACTAACTGCTCAACAATAAATATAAAAAAATGAAAAAAAAAAAAAAAAGTAAAGACCGCGCCGGGTCCCGTTTTGCACGTTTGACACGCGCGAAACGGGCGCGGAGTCTCAACGCGCGTGTTACAAAGCCGCGCGAAGAAATCCGCGCTTTGCCGGGATATGCAGCGAGGCGGCGTGTGAGGTCGTGTGAGGTCGTACCACACGGTGGAGGGACATGAAACGAGCGAATAGGTTGAGGGTCGTGAGTGGCCGTTGACCCTGCCTGCGTAGTATGTACCTGTGTAGTATGCCGGGAGCGGGCAGGCGTACGAGCGCGCCTAGACAGGCCGGAATCCGCACATTGGTAATAGCTTCTCTAGTTTACCGGCCTGCCTTTCGTAAAAGGAGATATTTATGCTTTTCCTCCGCCTGACCACAACTGAAAAAAACTCCTTCCGCAAAGCTTCGGTCTTGAGCGCAGACGCGCTGCAAGGTGCACGACTGCTAATTAACAGCTAAATTTCGCCTCGAGACTGGCGAATTCAAAGCGCCGCATCGTCGCGATCTTTTTACTCAAGAAATTAGCTATTGATTTTTTCATACATATTTCTTTGGTATCTTTACATCAAAAAGAGATACCAAGCTTTATGTGAACTCTGAATTTTCGATTTTTAATTCGCGTCTTATCGAATTATTTTTTTAACTGATAAGATAGATTTATATCAAAGATCTCGAAGCAGCCAATATTGCTGATTGGAAGAATCAATCATGAGTATCACAATTTTGTTGCAGTATCCGTCCACTGTCTCGTCAGATGCTTTGCCCGATCAGAATGTGAATATCGCGGATTCACCAGGAACCTTACCAGCGAACGTGAATATTTCACCTGCAGCGAGCGATCTTCTGAAGCGACTCTTACAACCGGAGCCTCGTCTAAGACTTCGAACTCTCCTGAGTCTTCAAAGGATCGCTTTTTACATGGGCTACGATCTTCAAAGCTATATGCAGAAAAAGGTAGTTGTGTGATAATATATAGTAGCATAAATAATAATTTTACTTCTCTAATAATTCAGTCAAATATATATTGCGAACAAATTGAACAATTTACTTATCGTACAACACGACAGAAAACTTTCGCGTTATACAACAATTTTGCTTTACCGAAAAATGTGAAAATTAGTGGAAATTCTTTCCATGGAAAAGTATAAAGGATAAATTATTTATATATATCTTCCGTTCTCTCTCTTTTTTATTATTTCGTATAGAAATCCTAAATCAAGACCGTATAAGCAGCTTTTATTAAATTTTTGCGGAAAACGCTATTAAAAATTTGTTAAAAATTTACGATTTGGAGAAAAAATTAATTTAAAAAATCGAAGAAAATTTATTGAATTTGTTGTGTGTATAAGTGTATTTCTATATCTATTGTTTATGGTACAATTATTGAAATTATTTTCTACCTACTTTTATATATAGGAATCGCCATTCCGGATTCTAGGAGTAAAAAATCGTCGAGAATTACAACAACAAAGAATGGAGAGTTTGAAATATGAATTTTCAAATTTTGAATCATTTCCTGGCGATAGTACAACACGGACCAGTCATCAATGATCTCATATGCATTAGTGTGCATCATTCTCTAATCTCATATATATATGCTTTGATATGAAATACGCAATAAAATTATTTTTTCAATATTTGCAGCATATTTTTATATAAACATTGATTGAATATTTTGAGCGAGGCATTTTATAGTTTAATGAATCTCAAATAGAATTTTTCCAGATGTGACTTAGTGCAATTTGGTTAGTACATTAAATTTTTTAGATAATAATATTATATGATGGAATTAATGCTAAATAAAAAATTTTTTTATTTCTATTAAATTTCAATATTTTTAAATCTATCCATTTTCCCAGTTAATCCTTTCTCTCTGATTTAATTAAATGGCTGTCTAATTCAAAAAGAAACATTAATAACAAGTTGATCGAGTGATAATTGAGTGATCAATTACTCATTTTTGTTTGTATAATATTTATGGAACTTTGCGTGTATATGTGTGTGCGTAAATTGATCGATGTCGTCCTCACATAAGGATTGTTCAAGGAAAAGGAAGTAAATTCTTCGCCGACCACTTGATTTCAGTTTACAAAAGTTTTAATTTTTTTAAGAATAGTTAACAGTATTTTTGTTTGTTACAGTACCTCGTCGATAATACAATAAATTGCGATAATTGTAGTGCGTACAAACTAACAACGAAACAGAAATGGATTCGGATCAGAAACGCAGTGTTTTTCAAAATGAATACGAGAACAATGTGCTTTTTCTTTTTATATACATATATATAATATATATATATATATATATATGTATATCCGTGTATTTTTTTTTCATTTCTTTCTCCATTCCTCTCTCTAGTTCTCGGTGCGCCTTGATTTCTTTTATTAGATCAGGGAGCAGCTCCTCTCTCAAGAGTGCAATTAATTCAAATTTACCGTGTATAATAATCATATATACATTATTATTCTTACATATAGAGGATTTTTCGGTTTCGATATATAATACAATTTATTCTCTCAGATTACGTCCCGTGCAACGCGCGTCAGCGATCGATCACTGGCCAAATGTTCTGAAACGAACAACGCTAAAGGGAAATGTCGACAAACGGACAAGCTAAGTAGAAAGAAAAACACACTTTGTGCGTAAACGCGTATTAAGGTTTCTTAAGAACAATGCAAGGATAAATTAATCATGCAGCGGAAATCCGAAGCGCGAATAGTTACGTTGTCGCTTTAGATTGAGACAACTATTCAAATGCCGTCTTCTGTGCATCGTTCTCCAAAAAAAAAAAAAAATAGTCTCCGAAGTAACGTTTCAAAAGTTAGTCTCAATGAAAATTATCCTAACGACAATTTTCGCACATGGACGAAACGTGCGGTAATAAAAGAGGTAGAGAGATCATTTCATCTTTCATGAGGCGGAGCCGACACTTTGCCCGTCGCACTTCCCGGAAACAATTTGGACGATTGTGCCATTAATGAAAAGAACAAAAAACGAGGATAAAATTTACAAGATCACGCGGAACTGCGAAACACATCTACGTTCCGAGTGATCGTGCCAGCGATCGCTCTTTGCAAAACTCCCGCACACTGCTGCTCTCAACAATCGCTCGTATCAGAAGACCGTTGAGGTCTTCGTTTTGCAAAACAAAATTTGAATTACGTCTAATTGTAACTACTTCCACCCCCGCGCGGTGTGGAGTGTCATTTTGGTAAAAATCCCTTATGCTTGCCCTTGCGCCGGATACTCGTGCCGATTCGTTCCTCACGCGCGGTTCCCGCTCTTCTCCCGGCGACGACAACGAGGACGACGTTCGCCGATGTTTCTCCTTTGGCTAATCCGGCGGAGGATTCGCACGAGTATCCCGCGTCAAAGCGCCCTAAGCCTATTTACGCGATCGCGATTCCGCGGCTCCTCAGTTTCGGAGAAAAACCGGAGAACCGCCGCTCCCGATGCACACACATTCTCTCTTTCTCTCGCGCTTTCATACATTTCTCCTCTCTCGCGCTCCTTAAATTACTATTATTCCTTATTATTGTTACTGTCATTACCGTTACAATGCTGTACTATTGTAAGATATTATGATACAAGTAGAATTGTCCGTTTGTTTACGGTTCAGCGATTACGACAAGTTCACGTCCGCTTTTTTTTTTTACAGCCTGACTCTACTACAAATACCGCGTTTTGGACTTCCGCTATTCTGCAAAATCATGAAATAAACTTCACGAGTCTGTTCCTCATAGAAAAGAATATAGATTTAAATATTTTTAGATAAAACATTTCTTTTTATGTAAAAGAGAAGTGTTGAGAGTTTGGTAAAATTTGACAGAATTGTGTTTTTCGCAAATTGACCCTTCGCGTCTCTGGATTTGTTTGCAGAATAAATGGTGGGTCGCTTACGTGCGATGCGAAAGAGAAACGGCTCGGACGCGCATCACCGAGTAAGATGCGAATGAGAGAAAGAGCGAGCTAATAGACTCGGACGATAATATCATTACATTCAAATGGGACGACGATATATGAAGTAACTACAGGGTCGATGGTTCGTGATGCGCGTCCGTGCTGTTCCGCGCCGTTGATCGGTCGATCGTTTCGTTGTTCAATCGTTCGATTACAACGGAAACGTACGTCTCGAGCGTCATTTCATCCCTCCGCCTTCATCATGATGAGCGGCCCCGGATTCGGCGCGTCCAGAGAATGTCCAACAATATATTGTTTTCAGTTTTGTACACAAAATACCAACTATCTGTGCTGGAAAATGCACATACTGCTTGTACGCCTCGTATATATCTATGTATATATATATTTATATATATAATATTTATATATGTATATAGTGTATTGTTTTGCATTAGAGCGCGCCGTTATCTAAAAATTAGTATTTATAAGTATTCACCGTTTACACATTGCGGTAATATCGGTAGTAGCGTGTAGTGTGGGCTCTCCTATCACGGTGTTTTACAATATGCGAGAGAATATATGTATATATATATATATTTATATATATTATTAATATGTACAGAAAATCATTCATTATTAGACATATGTTTCGCATGTCGTGTTTTGCCTTTGTGTTCCACGCTCAGAGAGTGGACGCTTCGAACAGAAATACAAAGCTACATTCGAGAACGTCATTCTAAAATAGGCGCTGCTTATTTAAGCCCATTTTAGTCCATTTATTGCTTCTTTTTAAAAATTTTAAGAAGTCAACGCTTGCTTATTTGTTTTAACATTATATATCTTCGGAACATTTAATTTCAAAGCACAGTTGAAATTAAATAAGAAACAAATTTTGTTACACACGTAAAACAGCTGTCATTTTTACAACTTAATTCCTAATAGCTTAAGTAAGATATTCGTTATTGAAGTGTACGCAAACTGGCATAAAGAGACGTTCTTGAGCATAGCTGCGGCAAAAAAAAACAGGTCTATCGGCAGAGACGCTCCATTCAAATCTCGACCACTCTCTTCCTAAAATATTTGTTCATAATCTCTTTTTCTCTCTTCTCGCATTATTCACACATACACTCACGCACGGGCATCCACTCATACCGGCCCAGACAATCCGGAAATGGATATATTTGTTCGACTACATGGTAGCCACAGCGCTCGACCAATGGAACGAGAGAGACACTTTAATCTCCCTGCTCATTATTTTATAACGTTCCTTATAACGTGCTTCTTCGTGGTATTTCCCGAAGGTAGAGGTGTTTCCGTCCTTTTTTTTACCTTCGACGACCTCGAAGTTGACGAATTAATATCGAACAGCTGAGTTCACCGACGGGTTAAGAGAAAGATCGACACATTACACACCGATCCTCTCACCCCATTGGACGATCGTTAAAAACTAGGATTCTAAACGAGGAGAGGAAAGTAGACTCTCGGCCGCGACTTTCTTTATTCATCGCTGCTGCTGTAGATTTGCGCGACGCGAAAGCTCGTTAGTGCGCGTCGCGCAAGATCATAGCTCGCAATCTCTCTTTTTTTTCTTTTTGGTTTTTTCTCGCCGTTCTCCGAAACAGGGAGGATTGATCGATGACGAATCTCTGTCGCGGTGACCTGAGAAGGGAGGTTTCGCATAACTGGGGAAAGGACAAGCGGGGGAGGGAATGCAAGAAGCTTCCAGAGATAAGCGTGCAAGACATCGCACATCGACGCACGTGTCTTCTCGTCTTTTTCCTTCTCTTCATTTTCTCCTTCGTTGGACTTCGTTCTTTCGATCTCAATACGAATCTGCGCGCGACATCGTGATTCGCTACGCATATTCTTCTCGCTCTACCTTCCGATAAAAACGAATGGGCCGAACGAGTTTAAACATTAAGAATCAATTGTCACTTAACGCTAATTTTGCCTAATTCAATTTTTCTCTTCCGTCTATATTATAGACAGGACTATAACTTCGAACTACAATTCACAGTTGATCCACCAAATTGTTTTTACAAGAGTAGAATGTCAGTCGTTGATGTTCCGCCTTCCGCGAGCATAAATTAACTCGATAATACATATATAAACTCACATGAATCGGTTTCAACGATATATCTTTCCTAATGATATATTTTTCTTTTTATTACCGCATCACTACAATGAACGCATTTTTCCAAATATATAGCAAACATACATCTTATTTGTCGAAAATACGTTTAATGATTTTTTGTGAGGCTGTAATTTTTATTGTAAAATCATTACATTCGCGCTTGACGAATGCGGAACAGCAACTGACACATTTCTGCTCTCAATGAATTTCTTAACATTGCCATAATTAAGGCGCGCGCGCGCGATCGAAAATAACGAGGACCATAGAGCGTCCCTATAGCGATATATTATCGATAACAATGATAATAATAATAATCACTAACGTACACGCTATGAATATTCCTGTACAAAGTTTAATTGCACAATGCATCTCTGACTTCCCCGCGAACAGAGTACATCTAGTTTTCTTTTTTTCTTTTTAGACAATAATCGTAAGCGCTTGCTCCTCAAGGCAGCTCCACAAGAGAGTGATACCTGGCAGTAAAGGAAAACAGTTTTGTCGATCGAGCAGTCGACCGATTGTCGTAGACACTGAATGGCTGTTTTCATTTCTCGCGCAATGTGTGCGAAGAGCTTAATGAACTAATGCACGCAATTGTATTAGTGAGTCACAAGCAATGAACGCTCTGCGCGGATCACGCCAAAAATCGTGAGAATATGGAATTATCGTAAATCACATTTTCGGACACCAGCCGAATAATCTTAATCATTAAAAACGAAGGTGATCGAAAAAATGATTTTGTGGAAAACTCTTTGTAATTTTTATTCGTCAACGTATAAAAATATCAGGTAATACTAAAGGATTTTCTTTTTTTGTTAAACTAAATCCAACTTTACTCGATATTTTTTACGAGATATCGCTTGTAATGTGATGTACCTCTCCGTCGATTCTCAAATATTCGTAAAGAAGATTCGAGTATTTTTGGTGATATCAAGACATATTACATATCCGCGTTACGATGACTCGAAACTTGAGAGACGTTTACAACGATGCCAGGTGACACTGATGAGCTAGCTTGATTGCAAAATGGTGTTTACACGGTTAAGGGTATGTTCACACACGCGCTCGCAATATCTATGAAATTACACTAGAGTTTCGCGCTTAATCTAAATGTGATTAATTTACATGCAATTAATCTATACGATATTCGCGCACTGGTATACGAGTGACCTGCGGTCCCCGTTGCACGACAATCTTTTTATGGCTAAAACATATTCGTGATAGACGCATCTTACATGATTTCCAAACATGTTAAACAACAACGAAAAACAATTTATAAAATTTATAACACACGAAACGTCGATTATGAATGAGACACGATACGTAATCAGAAACATCTTCTGATCTACTTCAGCGTAAACGAGCGGACACACTGAGCGTTTCTATAAAAAAGTCTTACCTACTATACAACGTTTTTGATTTTCACAGCGGCAAGCTTTCGAGAGTAGACTCGAAGATAGATTGTTAAGCTTTAAACTTTAATGACGTTGTTTAATCCGAAAAAAGATACTCGCGCGCCGTGTATTTATCCACATGATAATTTACCGTGCGGAGGTGTATATTATATATTTCAAGAATATTTCATGGATACCTCTTGAAAATATAAACGCCTCGATGCATGCACTACAACGAGATCGTTTATCGGCATTAAAGTTACAGAGCGGAGAGAAGTCGGACAAGTGTCGAAAAGCGCGAAGAGCTGCTTGGTTGAGCACGGGTGTGAACGACCCTTAAGAAAAGAAATCGGCGAGCGACCCGCCGAAGTCCTCTTCGGCAGGGCGGTGGGTCACCCTATCACAATCTTCGTCGACGTCGTGGTGGCGCTCGCCGTTGACGTCCCTAAATGACGGAGGAAGTGCCGACGGATGATGATGTTTGGCGCCAACAACGAATGGCGACACGACGCAACAACGTCAAAGAAATCACCGTCACCGATCGAATATCGTGCACTTCGCCCTTCAATCCGAGAGCTACGATACCCGATTCTTTTATTTTTACCCAGCCTCAATACGAGGCCACCACACTGCACCTATACCCGCACCACACTGTAGCACCTCAACACATTGCAATTGTCATGGCCTATGGAACCTGCAATTGAAAAGAGAGAAGAGCGTTATAGTAAGTAAAAAAAAAATTATTTTATTAAAATTTAAATATGACAATCAGGGAGCAAATTATAATTTTCCGACTATATGCAATCGGTAATAGCAGTTTTGACAAACTAACGACTTCAGCAGTCTAATCTTCACGTGACTTCAGAAGAACTCGTATCACATCATTAAATTTTATCGCCTCTATCAGTTTCTTTGTGATAAATCAAAGCGATTTCGTTATATGTGTTCTGGGCTGACTTTAACGAGACTGTATATCACGTGAAACATTTTAACAAAATGCTGCTTTAGAGCGAACTGGATTTTAAAGGTGCCGCAGCTATTCGTAGGGCATCAAGTACCTGGTGAGGTGTCGGCTGTCTTCGTGAACGGCCATCTCCGAACTCTTGAACTCATTCAACTCCTTCCTGATGGCAGCCTTGTCCTTCGGAGTTAATCGCGTCCAGGGCTTGTCGGCTCTTCTATCGTAATCGTGAGCCTGCGTTACCTCGATATAGTCGTTGAACCTGATAATCTGCGGGAGGAAGAAGGATGTAGTGGATCACTACTCGTTTTCCACAGCTTTATCGCGTAGGCCGTTAAGGCGTTATCGGAAAATAACACCTTGATGAAATGAGGTACTATAATATATCGGTTGAACTTAAACTCGGCGGTATATTTTTAGCATAGCCCGAGTCTCTGTATCTCGAAACGTTAAAGAATAAACACACAGCAACAAAAATTCTCGGAGATTTACGAAGAAACTTTTTTTGTCGCTTTATCACCTTTTTCTCCTTTAGCTCCTCAACGGTTGGTCGGAAACTCAGCTTCCGTAGGAGATAGCGTTTCTTCTCCTCCTTCTGCTTTTTCTCCTCGGCGGGACTTTGCTCTGAAAAATAATACGCAGCTTGTAATTCACTTCCGTCAAATTTAACGAAGAATGCGTACATTTAATTACAGTTGTCGCGGAACGCGGATCTCGGATTGAAGTATATTTGATTTTGGAGTTGCGAGGGAAAAACTGTTCTAAATTCAGTCTTAGAATGATATCTCTCAGAATCCCTGATCGTTGTCGGAAAAGAAAAGTTGACAGAACAAACTTACTCTTTAAAATATTTCTCTCTTCGAGTTCCTCCTGAGTCGGCCGCATACTCAGTCGCCTGAAATGAGAATGGTACATGATTCAGTGTTTTAAGTTCATCGACCACTTTAATCTTCTTTCGTGAGATAGGCGAGAGAGCGAGAGATTCGAGGGCGGGTGCGAGACATCCACCTTGTGCAAACAAGTGATTCACCGCGGCCGAGAACACTCGTTCCATTATCCGCTCGTAATCTTTTCGAAAGACAACTGTGATTTCAAGCTCATTTTCAGTCGAGCCGAATCGACCGTGACGGACTAATGTTCAATTAAAAGAAGGGAAACAGTAAAGTTTTCAGAAATTATACGCCGGTTTATTATTGAAAACTGATTTTGACGATAAACTGCTTGGAAAATGCAGAGTGCAAATATTAAACTGCAAGAAGGCAAAAAGACAACAAAGTCTTGCTTCAATAATGGTTTCGAGCTCATTTTAATTTGATAAACGTTTTACGTTCTGATTTATCGCACAAATACTTCATAACATTAATATTTTCCTAAGTAATATTGCGAGTGATAAATATTTTATTAGAATCAAAATTCATGTAATTTCCTCATTCTATTTCGGATCTCTATTTGAGCAGATTACCGATCGAATATGCAATTTTAAGTTAGACAAAGAGGATTCGTTAAGACGTGCCAAAAGCTTTTAGAAACGTGCTGCCTTAACGAAAATAGAGACGCAAATACATATTCGAAATCCCTTTATTCCGCGCGCGTGATTATAATCCGAGGCGCGACTAGGCAGACAATTCTCTCACCTGATGAGTTTGGCGCCAATGGCCTCTTTCGTCTCCTGCCTCTCATTGTCGGTCTGCAGCTGCAGGATGTTCCTATTGATGAGTTCTTGTCGGTCTGGCCTCAGGGCGAGTTTCAGCGAAAGCGATTCCTTGCGCGCGATCTTGGCTGCCAGACGGCCTGTCGAGATAGAGTATCGAATTTCCATTAATCCGCTATTATGTCCACCGCAAATCGATACGCGGAGAACATGTTACTAAGATAAATTATATTTTACTGAAAAATAAATCAAACAAGCTATCGTATTTTGAAATCATTATTTTACGCGTTAGAATAATCCGGAGACGAAGATGTCAGAATGAGTATAAATTTCATACGGATTATTATTTGCTAGAGATGAATTAGTATGTAAAAATTAGAACAAATTTCGCATAGATTATTATTTGTGAAATTGCGCATCAGTGTTAATTAATTTCACATTCGGTTGCACAATGACTAATTACCCTCCACGATCCGCAAGCAGCTGAAGCTACGGTACAACAGCGGGGCGTGTTCGACCTGCTCGATCGAGGCGCAGGCGATCGACAGCGTCGACGCGGTCCATATCGACAACATCGTGTCATCGCTTTCTCTATGCGATGCAAATCGAAGCGAAAAGCGCACGGAGTGTGTTCGAAGGGAGCCGAAATTGGAGTTTCGCGCGCGTACCGGCGATATTAATTGCCGTTGGCTTCCGCACAGTCCATTCTACGTCGCAAAATCACTACGTGTGTATTTCGGAAATAAACAAGCTCTCGATCACTTCGCGCTCCGCCGCGCGCTTCTCGCAATAATTTCAGAACCGGATATCTACGTATTTAGGGATTAGTTTGAGTATCTTTACGATTATACGCCAGCGCGACGTTGTGCGACGGTAATTTAGCGAGCGGAAATCACACCGCGATAAATCCGAACTGAAGAACGCCTAGAGGCACACTGAGCGACTTGCCAGCTATCTTCGGGGATTAATATAAACCTTCCAAGCGTCCGTTTACATATACATACGCGCGACCCGGCGCGAGTATAATTAGTACGGTCGCTGAAGGCTGATTTAAAGTGTTGGGTAATCGCGCGGATGTTTCTCGGTGGGAAAATCGACGCGTTGCAACCTGCGAGACACTTAATCGCGCGAGCGGTCGCGCTGATGCGCCGAGCACAGCTGAGGGATTATCTTGTTTTCCACACATTATGTAAATACTGTCGTAATAAAACAGTTGTTATCTATGTTTACACTCGAACTGCCGTGAGTGCTTGAGGTACAAGTTGTGAGTTGATACAATAAGAGCTGTAATTTCGATTATAAGAACATTTTGAAACGTCCGACGATCAAGCGAATTTTCTTTATCCAGCAGATTGCATTCGATGTAATCACGTAATGAACGTCGAGCAAATTGACTTTCTGAAATTTAGGGCTCCAGTTTTAAGTTCTTTTAAGTTGAGGAGCGCTTATATTGACTATCCGGCATGTCTGGAGTTTCCACTATCTTTTAAATTTCTCGAATCTTCGCAAATGTTTGAAGTCCAAGTTTTCCGAGACTTTTTTTTCTTCATTTTTGCGTTCCGCCAAGTTTTTCCAGCACCTGCGGCTGACTCATCTGTTTTCCTAATTATATTCTCGAGATTTAGAGCAGTCCTTCGCGTCTTCCTTTCAAAAAAAGGAAGAACCGTGCACGGCGAGCGTTATCGCGAATACACCGGCGCCGGACTATTTGTGAATTCACTCGGAAGTCCATTCACCGAACCGCGTCGAGAGTTCGAAACCTCATATCTCGACGGAAAATTGCGAGCGAGGGCGTGAAATAAATATGGTCCTTGCCTTCGCTTTCGCACAGCTGCAGCGTGACGGTGCATTTTTATCGCGACACACGCCTGCAAGTATACGCGATTTCCGTCTGCGGCGGAATTTCAATGTGGGGTTTTGAGAGCCTCGGCATATTTATTTTTGCGAGGAAATTATTGATTCCCTATGAAATACGACCGCGGCTGCTATGTTTGCGTAATGCAGCGAATGAAGTATCCGTCGAAATTCCGACAGAATAAAATAAAGTTGCTAACTATCTGCCTAATTGATTGCCGAAAGGCAGGTACGTGTTTCGAACACATCGAGAATAAATCGAATTGCAAAAATCATTCTATTATCCCGCGATATGCAAAACTGTATCACAATGGGCATCACTCGCCTATTATGTTCTCTGTTTAACGTACATTTTATATAGGTCGTGTGCGCTAATTAGTCTAATTAATATTACAGCATTTAATTAATCTCTACTAATTATACCGAAGTTATATCATAAATATAAAATAATTTCACTTCTTGTATTTTATTTTTAACAGTTGATAATTTTTAAGCGTCAGCACATCAAGCGTCCTTTCACGATTCAACAATAAACATGAAAGTAAAATGTGGTAATGCGTCGATTTCGAAAAATGAGTAAAAGCTTTTTCTATCAGCACATTATCGATTAGAAATAAAAAATGGAATAAAATCAATCGGGTAACTTACTTTTCTCGTCATCGTAGTCGTCCCTGTAGAGAACTTGTCCGTCGGAATCGTCCACATCTTCCCTAATAACGTACGGCCTCGCGTTCTCCTTGTTCTCCAGCGTGCAGGGCAGAGCGAGGCCGAATCTGACGGGTCGACTGCTGAAATAATGAAAAGTGGGGACGTGCGAGATCGTTAATTCAAACCCCGGCGGTGCGTTCCGCAGGTTGACGCTACGTGAACCAATGTTCTACTCTACTCGGTGCTACAAGAGAGCGAGATGCGAATGGGGTATGCCGAGGATGGAGGAAGAAAAGGCCAGAGATGCAAAGTGGTGACAACGGTGGAATGGAGAACAACGGGACACGCCGTGTGAAACGACACTGTCGCGCGCATTTGCGGCGACCAAGTCCGGCTGTCGCCGTTCGACACACCGAATGCCGGTTGTGCACGTATTCACGATATTTGTTTATTCGAGAGAGTCGTGTCACTTGTTTTTGCGCAATCCACGTCGACGTCGCAGAAAATTTATCGCGAAAATTTGGAAGGAAATATCGAGGACGAGAACGAGCGCGTATGCGCGAAAATAATAATAGTAACTGTAATAATTATGGAAATTATCCTAATTGTGAATACGAACTTTATTCGCGATTGTACTACTTGCGTCGCACGCGCGCCGGTGTTGAGCGACATACTCCGCGTCACTTGACGTGGAAAATTCATTATGTAAATTTTGGAATGTGCGACGAGTACGGAAAAACGATGACAGTAACTGTGATAATTATGGAAATTAATACAACGGCATTCAACGTGTTGAAATCGGGTTCGCTGCTTGGTCCGTGAGAGCGGTGTCTCGCGACACGTCGAGAATTTTTTAATTTAAACTTCGGAAGTTACCGCAGTGAATTTTCTTCCAAGAATAGTAAGCCCGGGAGCGCTAAGTGATTGTAAACATTTCGCGAATATTTAGCACAAGCGCTACTCTCGACTGTGTACGCAGTCTTGACAAGAAGTTAAGATTTTCTTCTTTCCTCGCGGCAGTTTATCGCGAGAACCTCTCTCATAATATTTGCAATAACTTTCCAAATTTGTCGAAACTTTCGGCCTACACTTTAGATTGCGCTTTACGTTCCAAAAATTATTAATACTGTGGAATAATAAAATGTTTGAAAGTGTAGAGAAATGCAAACGAGGGGGCGTGTCACAATCTGTGCCAATCGTACTTGGTTCTTATTTTAATATTCATTAAATTTTTAATTTCTTATTTCTTTTCAAGCGGTGCGTTACGTCAGAAGCGAAGTGCCTCGGGCCAAATATTTTCAAAGCGTTTTCAACAATGTTAAGAAGCCGGCGGAAATTTCAAGCGTCAAAGCTGCTATAATGTGATACGAACAAAAACATCGGTAGTTTTTTTTAAGACATGCTTAAGACCGATGTAATAAATCTGTACAAAATATTGCAAATTAACATTTGTGAAATATATTAGTTTTATCATATAGTTTTTGTGAGTAATTTTCGCAAACGAGCAGTAATTTTTGAAAATAATTATATACAATTTGTGCGAATAATTAAAAATGCAAGATAATACTTTGTTTGCATTTTGTTCGTAAGTTTGTTTTCTTCCGTTATTTTGCGGAAATTGCGGCACAGCGAGAAAGAAATTACACATAAAGATAAAATATTCATTATAATAATTATAAATTAATTAATATGCAGCTTAATCCACCTGCGTGAAACATGGTATTTAAAGGGCAAATGCATTGCAGAAATAATTATAATTATCAATATGTAGAAAAGGCTACATTTCATGCTCTTTCGTATAGCAGAATTAACGGGGACACGAAATATCGAAATGTGAATAATCGAAGATAAATACACGGAGAATCAGAAAACGCATACTCACACGAATGAAATAGAATCAAACGACACCTCTTCGCCGTAATTACTCCGTCTTACACAAAACCGACTTATTTCGCGAGCGATACCGTCGCCCAATGACGGATCGTAACTCGCGAGATCGATCGATCGCACGAGAAACGGAAAATAGCTCGCTCCTTTTGCGCGATATTCGACTCACGTGATATGTCGCGCGTGATCGAATGGTGCAGCGTGACAAGCGTAAAGGCGAGAGATTTTTCATGGGTTTCCCTAAGGTTTTCTCATGCTTAAAACGTCGGACGTTACCATGCTCACGGCGCTCGGCGTGACTGCGACGAAAAAGTCGCCAAGTGAAAGAGAAGAGAGAGACTAGAACGTTTTTAGTGCTCTCTCGCGATTAACCGCGTGCCGCCGTGAAAGACGTGAAGAGACAAATGTAGACAATATACATAATACGTATGTACATATATACATATGTGTGTATATATATATATATATATATATATATATATATATACATGTACATATATATATAATATATACACCATATCGGTTCGCACACATGCTTAGTTAGACCAATGCCCAATTACCATATTCTCATCCTAGGCCTCAACGGTGGCCTTCTGGGTTAAGCATAAGAAAAATACGATGCTTTACTAGTGACTGACATGTTAATGGCGGGTGCACGAAGTACATTCCATGAGTACTCGCCTGAGAGAGCGTACGTTTCCCTTCAGTAATGTCCTGTCTCGCATTTCAAAGTTCGCAAAAAAACAAATAGAAAATAACACGCGGCGAGTATATTTATACATTATATAAATATCCTTCTTAAATCTTACTTTATTATCACATTACGATCTTTATTACATAAGATACTTGTCATGCTAGTAAATTTAGATTGACTTCATCTAAGAGATAATTATTCGTCTAAGCAGCCAAATACGAGAAGCGAAAAACTACAAGCAGCGAGACGGGAAATTAAAGGACTACGTTCGGAACGAATTAGGGCTCTTCGATGTCCGCTTTTTACGTTTCTTTTTTTTTTCATTACGGTCGAGCGTAATAATAGTGCGAGAGAACTAGGTGCTCGACGCTTGCTCGCAGACGCGATGCTTTTCGAGGCTTCCGATATCAAACAACGGAACTGGAGAGAAAAGCAGAGCTTTTGAGAGAACAGAAGCGATTTTTAATTAAAGAAAAGCCGATGTAGAAAGCGGATTATCCCGGAGAATTTGCGCCGGGTGGCTCTCGAAGGGCGCCCGATTCTTACGGCGAGTTTCGAGTTTCAATGCAAAGCGTTCGAGAGAAATCGATAAATGTTTGCACTTTGCGTTTATTTCACGCTTTTGTTTTCTAATTACCATTGGAACATTGTATGGTAATTCAATGTACTTCAATTTCGAAATCCATTTAAAATTACAATAATTCTGCTTTTTATTGTGAAAATAATACATTTCAAAACCTTTAACGCAGTATAATATTTTAAATTTACTTCAAATATTTAAAGATTTACAAATTATGAATTTTTCGTATTGTTGAATTTCTCACAAATGTTACATTCTATAGTCGTCAAAATAAATGATTAAACCACTGTACAATGTTTTATCAAGATTTGAAACATAAAATCTACGTATTTGTGTGACATATTTATTATTAATTCCGAATTGTTTCTCTATTTTCCCTTTGGTTTTCTTTTTCAGTACAAGCGAATATTTGAAGCCAATGTGCAGTTGAAGTTTTTTTTTAAAAGACAAATCAATTTCTCTTGCCGAACGCTTCAGCACCGATGGATATACTCGAGCAATAGTAAAGTGAATCTGAGACTTGCAGAGGTGCACTAACTTGAACGAGGCGTGGAGCTCCTGGCGAAGCGTCAGCGGCCTGTTCTCCTGTGTCGGCGTACCCTGCGGCGTGCCGGGCCCGCTTCCGGAACCTCGCTTCTTCAGCACGCTCTTCAGCGGTACGGCGTGGAACTTGGGTTCCTTCGCCGGAATCTCCTCGACACGAGACGTGTCGATGGCCGGATCCGGCTGCGACACCCTGAAGACGTACATATTGTCGTCTTCCTCCTCCACGTCGATGTCTTCCTCATCTAAAGAAACAGGCAGCAAGAAAATACATGTAATTACGAGGTTTTCAGCCAAAGAGATATAAACGCCTATTATCTAACGTTTGATTTATACAGTCACGATAATGGAAGTTGCACCGTTTGTATCGTGCAAAGATAGCTATTTTATCATTTATTAAAACTTGGAAAATTCCGACGAGCAAATTAAATGATTTATACATAATAAATAAAACTATTATATGTGCAGATTGCTTTTTCAAACTCATATAATTACGCGGCAGGCTATGTCAGGATTAATTTATGAATATTCGGTGACACAATCATAACAATCGATAGTCAATAATTAGGCATGCATCACAGAGGAAAGTTGTGTCAATACAACAGAGAATTGCGGTCATCAATTAGCGCAGACCGATAATTAACGACAAAATTAAATTCTCGATAATGAGATAAACAGTATTAAATAATTCTTTAATAATATACCGGTTAAAATTTTATATCGCAATATTGAAAATCAGAATAACAAAAATGTACGTATTATTTATATTACTAAAACACAACATTGCACGCTTACATGAAAATATCAAATATAATATGAAAAGAAAATTTACAACTCAATTATAAAAGATTTAAAATTGAGAAGAAGACCCATAATAAATTAAAACTTGTTTAATAAAGATAGGAGATCAAGGGTCAGGCTGGTTGATCGTGCCAAGAGTTATTTTTATGAAGTGATATTTATTTGACGTTTCGGTCAATAATTTTTGACCATCTTCAGAATAGTTTAAATCTAATGACAAATATAATAGTATATAATATTATGAAATCATCAAGTCAAAGTTTGGATAATAAAATAAAATAAATAAATTACATACCAGAATGAAATCTCAAAACATAATTAATGGTCAGTGTTTTATACAGTCCGTTGATAAAGATAGCTCGAAATACAGATTGTTAGTCATTATTGACGTTAAAAGACTTAATTAAACCTCTAAATTCATTGAGCACACTTAAGAGGTCAGACGTCTCACTTGTTAGTCGAGCACAAATCTTATTCTGAGCAAACGGCAAATTCAAAAAGGGGAGGATAGGTAGGAGGTTAGGAAGCAAGAAGGGGGGGGGTATTTAAAGAGGGGATAGTAAACTAATGATATGACTGTATGACGCTGGTAACGAATCCGTATCACTTTGAACATTTATGCCATGTGACTGTCTCTTGATGAAAATCATTTCAGAAATTAATCTTTTGTTATAAGAATGCTCTATATCACAGATCTCTGCACCGTCCCAGTCAAAATTATGATTAAGTCGACTGCAATGTTCCGTAATGACTGAATTTTGACCTCTCCTGACAGAACTTCTGTGTTCATCGACTCTAGTTCTTAATTGTTTTTTTGACTGTCCTACATAAGTCACGTCACAATCATTACATGAAATCTTATAGACAATGTCATTGTGGGAGTTTTTTTCTGCAATGTCTTTATGTCTCTTAATAAAAGTATTCAGTTTGTTAGGTATAGTATATGCTAATCTGAATTTATATTTTTTTGTAATGTTTAATTTTTTCTGACACAATGTTAGCGTAAAGAAGAACAAAGAAACGTTTATTGTCCTCATCATTGACATCATTATCCAACAATAAGCGTCTGTTATTATATATGTAATATTTTATTCTCTCTCTAATACCGTTAAAATGAAAGGTAAAGGATAACCATTATTCAATAAAATGTCAATAATGAGAACAAAATTCTGTTGATAAAATTGTGGATGAGACAAACCCAAGACCCTGTCTATCAGGCCAACTAGCACACCTCTCTTATGTGATATCGGATGTTGAGAGTGGAAATTCAAAAATCTGCCAGAGAAAGTAGGTTTTCGATACCAATTAAACATGAACTTATTGTTGCCTCGATATAATGTTATATCTAAGAAATTGATATTATCTCCCCCTATCTCTGCGGTAAATCGCAGACGATCGTGTACGGAGTTGAAAGATCTGAGGACATCCTCAATATGTCTTCTAGGAACCATAGTAAGAATGTCATCCACGTATCTAACATAAATCGGTAAGCTGAATTCTAAATTTTCCATTGCTCTCAATTCAAGATCCGTCATGACGATGTCAGCCAAAATAGGAGAGAGGGGGGAGCCCATTGGACTTCCAAAGGTCTGTTTATAGATCTTGTTATTAAAAATGAAAAAGGTTGAACTTAGAACAAATCTTATGGCACTGATGAACTCCTCCATAGAAAACAATGTGTTATTAGAAATAATTGGCCATCTGTTAACAATACCTGCAATAGCCAATTCCGAAGGCACATTGGTGAAAAGAGAAACAACATCCAATGACACGAGGTCCGTATCATCATCAATTATCTTATCCTTTAACATATCAATCAATTGAAAACTATTTTTTATGTGACTGTCAGGTTTAGGGATACTGTTATGCAAAACATTGTGTAGAAACATGGCTAGTTTATATAACGGGCTATTAATACATGAAACAATGATTCGAAGCGGACAGTTATCTTTGTGAACTTTAGGAAGTCCGTATGCTCGTGGTAAGGTGCCGTCAGAGGATAGTAAGGACAAATATATAGATTTGCTAATGAAACCTTTCTGTCTCCATCTGTTAAGGTGTGTTTTTAAGACCATTAATAATCTTTCTTGTCGGGTCTACAGTCACAACCTCATAAGTGCTCTCATTGGAGAGAAGCAAATTCATTTTGTAAAGATACATATTCTTGTGTATGGCCACGGTAATGTTGCCCTTGTCAGCGTTCATAAAAAGAATGTCTGAATGATCTTTAAAAAAATTATTATGTCATAAGATTATTATGTCATAATTAATTATGTCAAAATTATTATGTCATAATTAACAATTATTGGTACGATCAACCAGCCTGACCCTTGATCTCCTATCTTTATTAAACAAAAAGATTGAAAATCAAACTTGAAATTTACGTTTTATCATATTTAATTCAATGATTCTTATGTTAATTGTATTTATATAATTGTGGTCAAATATATTGGCAAGAAAAGAAATTAATTAATTATTTTTATGTAAGAACTTCAAACATTTCTTTATAATAATCAACTTTTCAGTATCGGTAGATTAATAATCTAAACCATTTCTTTGCTTAAAATAAAAAGTTTTTAATGCATTGCAGTAAAGAAAATGTAAATTTTAAAATTCTAGACCTATCAAATTTTATAGTATAAAGTTCCAGTGTCTAAAATTGAATAAAATGTACATTTTTACATTTTAGACTATTTCTTTCTTTAAAATATAAAATTTCAATGTATTGCAGTAAAATTCTAAGCCTATCAAATGATATGATATAAAATTCTAATGCATAAAAATGTATAAAATGTACATTTGAACATTTTAAATACATCAAGATTTTAATACATCACAGTGTAAAGAAAATGTGAATTCTAAGATTCTAGGCTCATCAAATATTACGATAGAAGATTCTAAAGCATGAAAATGAGTAAGAAAACATTCACAAATAGATTTATTTGTACTCGTGGAATTATGTCAATAGAAGAACTTTGGATAGGCAGAGGTGGGATTCTGTGTCATTAATTGCTTCAAGAAAAACATCCTCTTCCTGCGATATTATGTTTCGCCACTTACCCTCATCCTCGCAGTCTGAGAGCGGAATTTGCCGTTGCCTCGCCAGTAAAGTCGGGCTCGGAGAGCTGAACATCGGCGGGGGTGGTATGGGGCCGATTTCACTCAATGGAATCGGCGGTTCTGGGAGTTCCGACAACATCAGGGTATTCTGAGGTGGTAACGGGTAACACCTCTCGATAACCTGCTGATTGTCGGCACTCTGATCGAGCACCCCCTTGTCCACTGAAAGTAGAAAGAAAGACGCAATTAACAATAAATGCCAGAATAAATCGAAAGCTATTGCTAAAAACAACAGTGAACAGTGTTTTATCTCTCTGATATTTTATTAATCAGTCTTGTCTCATTGTGTACATCATTTTTATGTTCAAGTTCTTCCTCAATTTCTTTCGTGTATTAATTCTTTTTCGGTATTTCTAAATTGGATTGCACAGATTTAATGTTTTATAGAAAAAAAATCTCGTGATATTAACGTAAAGAAGACTCGACATCAAATGGCTATTTCGCTTCGAAATCATTTCGAATTGATTCCAATATCCGAATCTGCGCAATTCGAGCAAGAATGCAACCGAAAGAAGAATACGCCAATAAAATCAGAGCCAGTTGTTTCGAGAAACGTGATTCATTGCGGTGCAGGAGCAACAATATCTTGGCAAACGAGCGAATGCCGCGTTCGTGCCTCGCTGCAACTGCAGCGAGGTGAGGACTTGCGAAACATCGTTTGCGGCTTCGCCGAATTTGTTTATTATTAAATCCGCGCTGCCGTGCGCGGGAATGTCGGGTGGAATTTTTAATCTGGCATTACTGCTTTATATAGTTTGCAGAATCACGGCGCTTTTTTTTTTCTTTTTTTTCCGAAATTTAATTTCCCTACGCCGTCGATAAAGGCCGGCGTATTTTTCACAAATATAACGGCCCATCGTTGTACGCACGGTCAGTATCGGCTGGAATGCTAAATAACTCACTGAACGCGCGCTCGCGCTGGCGATTTGATAACATCGCGCACCTAAATTCTGACACAAAAGGATGAAGTTCCAGGCGGTTCCCGGCCGGAGATACTTCGGCTATCACGCATTCCCCAGGGATCGTCCCGCGCTTGATCACAAACACATATTTAAACATATTTGATTCCAGCGTGGTCAAAATTTATCGTGGTCGTTTTAACTGCGAAAATTTTAAACTGCACGTGGTCGTGCAAATTTACATAATGAATAAAGTTTCGAAGCAATTACTCTAAAATTTATTTGATTAAATATATTCCCTTGATGCGCGCACGATATTAATGGTTTTTACTGGATACAATAGATGAAACTGATAATAATATTTTAATATTTCACAGAATTTATTTTCCTCGATATTTTATTTTTTGGATTTCTGTCAAAAATTTGATGAAAATTAAACATAAAAAAATATTGCTTAAATATTCAGTCAAAATACCAAAATAGGTATATTAATTTTCTGAAGTTGCGTCATAATACGTATTCATAAATTAAATCAAATATTCAATGTTTATTACTAAAAGTTTCAATATACAGGCCAATATATATGGCACCAATGGAATGTAATGATCGAGAAATTTTATATTTGCAACATTACCGTAATCAATTTGAGTCATTTTTGCTCGAAAAAATAAATATAGCTCTTCTGTATTTTAAATTCGTCTGCTTCATCAGTCTGAGCTTCTAATAAATGTTATTAAAAAACTGTTGCCGGAGATATATCAAATTCAAAGGAGGGAGGGTTGCCGTCAAAGGGGCAACTAAAATCCAATAACAAAACTTTCGGCACTCGTGTGCGCTCGATGATAATTCATTCATGAAGCGCGAATTCGTGGCAACTTTTCGCTCTTCATCGGGTTACCGCACGAATTATCGCTTAAAAGGATGATATCGTTGCCTGAAAACTGATGACCCTTAAAGCTGGAGAGAAAATTCTTATTTGAAAGTTTTTGTGTAAAAGCTGCGCATAGCGATAGTGGATATATAAACCCAAGCTTATGCCTGCTGATGCATTAGTGAAGCTTTTATACGCAGTCGCCGAAGAAACGCAAAAGTTTCTGAAATTACGCATTCATAAGTCCAGTTTATTAGAAATAAAGCTTGAGTAAACGTGGCGCTGAATGAAATAATTTAAAATAAATCTCATAAATACAATAATACCTAAAATGTAGTACATGTATTATTTTGTGTGTGATATATTTCATATCAATTATATTTTAATTTTCTATTGAAGAGAGCTTCCTAGGAAATATACATTCATACATTAATAGCGTACTAAAACCGTAGAGTGCTAAACTTAGAGGGTTTAAGAAGGAAGATTATTCTCACTGCCCTTCTCTCTCTCTCTCTCTTTCTTCATTAATATTTCCTCCAAACTCATCACATCCCCCTCGTCATAGAAATGTTCATTCTGTCGCACGCCTCTGTTAATTTCGTCGAACTTTTCTCTGAGCGATCGATACGCAAGACGCAATCAACGCACGCCGGCTCGCGAGCTGTACTCACTGTCGAATAAGATCAACCTCCTGGCTACCACCCTGGCGTCGAGGGTATTCGGCCTGTTCGGTTTTTTCTGGTCTCCGGGATCCGGAACCGGACCCGAGACCGGCGCCGCCGAGCCGGTCGTCGCCATGCCCAAATTTGCGGCCTGCGGCTCGCCGCCGCCGTCGCCGCCGCACGGCGATATCGCGCCATTCGCACTCTGTTCAGTCTTATCCTTCTTCGGCTCTGTAACAGAAAAAAAAGTTCGGCACCGGTCAGAACCGTGGCGAGATATGTGATCCGTCAGAGAGGCGGATTTCTCGGCTGGCCGATTTCCTCGCAATTTTCCCCATCGAATACCGCGCTCGCTCAGAGAAAAGTCTCGTCGAACCACCCGCGAATCCGCGTGCAAATAAATACGATACGCATTCGTAGATTATTTTCCCACGTAGTGTAAACAGCGTAAAGCTGGCGTGTTTTTCAATAGATATATTCGCCGATGATGTGCCAGTTTTCTTCATTCTTGCTTAGTCACGTTTATGTATAGGCGAGACAGACTTTATTCTTTAAATCACTTCTCGATCGACGAGACGTTGCAGAATGTCTCAAAGCTTGCACAAATACGTGCGTTCGTTTACCTTGATTTTAAATAATATTTTAATAATTTTATCATAACCAAAGAAAAGGAAAAAAATTCTGTGTAACAGTAAAAAAAGAGTTGGATGAGTGACAGTAAAATCCGCTAAACGTGGGTAGGACATAGAAACCTTCAAATTGCGTTTATGTTTTCGGGAACGGACACTCCGCTGACTGGTGTCGTTGAAAATCTGTCCGCCATTGCGAAAAGCCGACATATACGCCGCAATGTCATCGTGACATCCAGCGAAAAAAAGGATACGCCGATTTCCAGGTCGATGCTGGACACATCGCACGGGCGGAAAAAGCTTCGCGCGCGTGCGGTTCGTTATCGACTAGCCGATTGTCGGTTCTACGTTATTCCGTTCGTTGCGGATTTCGAGAAATTGACATATTTGCCGATTCGGCAACGATTAAAGGTAACGCGAGGATGTTCAAAAATTCGCTTTGTACGGCGCTAAATATCGATAAAACAATCGGCACCAGGTTTTTTTGAGAGCTGCAGTCAGACGTTACGCGAGAAATCCATTTCGATTCGATTGCGCATCGTAGATCACTTAGTACTCGAGTGTTTTTGACGTCAAAACGGTATATCGAGTAATTTTTTCCTGTAACTCCATGCACCCTCCATCATATTGAGAAATAATTAAAAAGAATATCTATCGGTCGAAGTGCCGATTCGTGTCGCACCATTAGTCCCTTTGCGTGTAATTAATTATGAATGATGGAAAATTCGAAATATTCTCGAATTAATTTCGGAGCGATGTACACGGTCTCGTTTAATTAGTGTGGCAATTAATTTCAAATAATTATAAAAAATCGCAAGTAGAAATATGAACGAAAAGATATAACTCGTTTTCTTGTTAATTTTTCACCGCTTGAAATTTATTATCGAGAACATAAATAACTTTTTGCGCGTAATTAAAAATTTAATAAATTGTTTGGACGCTATTATTTAATCTTTACAACTTTGATTATGAAATATATGCTTTTTTTAAGTAAAAAATAACGTGGCCTGATTTCCAGAAGAAAACGCAACGAGCAATTTGATTTAAAAAGCATGCTTTTAAATGGAATTTTATGACAGGTAAACATTATCGACTGTCAAGGAAAACAGAGTATAATAACGCGACAATATGCGTCATTAAGTGCTGATATCGTGGATAACAAATCTGTAGATTGAGGGCGATCGTGATCAAAGTACGCGGCACGAGAAACGGAACGATGCGTTGTTTGATGTCCGAAAATGAAACACTATATTCCAAATATATCGTCGAAAATAGCGTGCGTAACGAGATGAGGTCGAAAGGCGAAAAGATACAGTCGATTTGCGGCAATTGCGATTCGTGATTGCGGACTAATGGAATTTAAAATTAAACATATTAATGCGCACAATCGGAAACCGCATACATTTCAATTGGGTTCGCTTGAAGCAAAATTAAAGCAACGTGATCGATATTCTCGCAAAAATACGCGCGCGCTTCTTCTGTGCTTAGCGGGGCTCTTTTACACCACAAAGGGCCGCGACGTAAATAACTGGATGCCAGAGCACGGAGATGAGTTACTATAGGTTACCGATAAATATTAAGGCGCGGATGTCATGAATATTGTATAAAAGAAGGAGGAGGACAGACGCGGAAGAATGGAAGAGAAATTGCCCGAGTCTCAGTTTCCGAAAGAATACGCTTTGCTGTCCGTGCAATAAAGATCGATTCGATTTTGCTGTTTGACGGATTTTACACGTCCGGAAGCTTCGCCGACGTCGTTTTGGAAGGTCGCCAATGGAATTCCGAAAGCACGACGAGCAAGCCGTCGGTTCTTTCGACACGCTACTAATAACGTCAACAACATATAGCGCATTACGAAAACGAGCAATTCAAAGTCCGCCTACTCTAAAACTGTTAACACTTGATTCCGATTCTTTATTAACCCCAGCGACGGTTCAACTGCAGTACTACTGTTGTCTCATATTTGTAAAAAAAAAAACTGTACCGTTCTAAATTTATTAATTGACACTTCGATTTGCATCGGCTTTAAATAGATCAAAATCTTACGTAATCGTTAAAGAATACGATATTAGTATCTTGAAAGTGATCGTCGCCGTTCTCTTTTATTCAGACAGCTAATAAAATGCAGCGCATTTCTCCTGAATTAGAATTTTAATTTTACAGGCATTTTAAAATAACGCATTTTAAAGTAACGAGACACTAAGGTCCTGATTAGCGGCGGACGTGTTAACAACGCGGCTTACGCTGCCGCAATTTAGATCGCGCGGGGCCGATTAAGCGGCGCAAGAAATTTCGCACAATTAGCGAGCGCGTGCCCTCTCACTTACTTCGCCAGTTAAGATGAACGATACGGCCCATCGGTGATTAATGTCGCCGCGACTTGCTGCAATTTTAGGCTCGCGCAATTTCGAGGACACGCGCTGGGTGTATTAACCGTTGCAACAAATTTCGCAATTAGTCTTTCTCCGTGTGCCCAACTGTCGTCGTCGCGTACGTTGAGACAAACGACACGGTGACTAACGTCCTCTACTTCGGCGCGAAGTCAAGCGGAAGCACGAGTACGAAAGCTCTTCTCCTTCCGACGTGTCGCGAAGCTCGTGCGAGACTGGTTGGGAGCTAGAAACTCGCGGCTTTGGGAACGCAAACAAAAATAGATCAATGACTTCGCCGAAAGGCAGAACGGCTCACAATACGACGACCTTCCATCTATCGCCGCGGTAAAACTTCGCGCTTTGATATACTGCGCGCACTTTCAAACGATTCAAGTTCCGCGCGTTATTATGCGTCTTTATGCTGAAAGTCTCGCGATCAAAGTTCTGCAAGCTGCAGTTTTCTCGACAGTTCTCGAGGAGGCTTTGGCACTACGTGAAAGTAAACAATACGCGCGGAGAAAGCACACAGTCGCGGCAATTGCGCGACGACTCCTCAAATCAACAACGAAACCTCGATCGGTTATCTTAGTTCGCGGCCAACACAGTCGAGCAAAGTTCCGCTCGGCGGAACTTGTATGCCAAGTGCAACGCACACAACCGAATGCGTTAAAGTTCAGCTGTGCACCGTTACGCGCACACATTGATCACGGTACTCTGAAACGTGCCAAGTGTACGCACTTCCGATGCATCCGCGAACTTCGGCGCAACGAACGTGAGAGACTCTCTCACGGCCGCATCGTCGGCCGATGAATCTATGAATAGAGCGACGCCGCGACTCGCCCTTGACAACATTTCCGTTATGTGGCGTTACGTTTGAGGAATTTCGGTTACGACGAAAACCTCCAGCGTCACGGCCGCGCGAGCGTGAAAAAACCCGAGTGCACGGTGCATGAAACTGACGCAATTTTAACGTCACGCGAGCACAGCGTGGGTGTGCGAAGTGGATGATGAAGTGTGCGATTGGAATGTAAACTGATAACGAATAAAAAATTTGTTTCGCCAAAATTTAATTAAAACTTTTATACCTGTTAATCTAATAATACATATAAGCGTGGATATTTTTTGAATATTTTTTCGTGAATAAAAATTTTTCTCACACATCAGATATTATAATTTTTCTTTAATTGCCGCGTTTAGTTATGCTTGAGAATCACGCAGATTGTGGTATCTTAATGTTGATGTGAAGAGAATGAAATGCGTTGCGTATAACATATTTACGCAAATTCTCGCATTAGCCGACTCCCCCAAGCAACGGCATTGTTTATAGAGCGTAAACGTCAGCGTGTGCCAGCTGGTTTTAGGACCAGTGAGCTGCGACCCTGACACACATATGTATGCTATTGAGATAAATAATAGAATTTCACCAAGGATTTTTCGCTGAAAGAATTTCCACGCGCCTTCGTGGAGCATATTTTTAGCTTTACTTCAATTGCGTATTTTACGGCTAAAATGTACAAAGCGCTCTACTTTGCAGACGCGTTGCACATATTGTTCTTGAGATTGCGCGACGTATTGCAATCGCAGTATTTCAAAGGATCTTACGTTGCGCGCGCGATCTCTTAAAACATCCTCTATCACGCCCTTGGCACCTGCGTGTTACACGGCGCGTTGCAATTGGAGCGCCGTACGCGACGAGCGCATAAACTTTGTCGCGGTCGTTGCGCATCATGAAGGCGTCTCTTCCACCGCTGACATTGGCGTTTTCTTCGCTGCGGTGCGGCCGAGGACGTTCGGTTAACAAACGAGAGAAATAAATTATGCCGTACACCAGCAACGGTCTGCATAATGAAGAGGAATCCATTCCGCGCGCGCGTGTACGCGAGCGAGGAACAAAAGAAGGGTAGGTACGCTTTCAGTTCCCTGCTTCGTGTCAGAATCACGCAGCGCATACTCGACATGGCGAAGTACGACGATAGACAAGAGCTGTATGTTAATTGCTACACTTTTATAATACTAAGAGGGTCCTCGCGTTCTACAGCGGAATCTCTAAAAAAAATTCGCTCAATTTTTGCCACATCGCGCACTCTCTTTCTCTTCATTCTTTTTTTTTATTCCGCTCCAAATTCAGCCGCATAATTTTACTATCTTCAAATACAGATAAATTAATTTGAATGCGCGATATTTCATCTGTGACATTTAACTCCTGTCGCAACGAGAGAAAATAAAACGCTGCTCTACAGTGAAACCGTTCGTCGAGGAAAAATGACGTTTCGAGCGTACAAGCGGGAGGTTGTTACGGCGACGGAATACCAATGTGACGTTTCGATGACGTCAAGAAACGGATGCTGATATTTTCGTAGCGTGCTGGTCGTCGGAACGACAATAACGGCGACTGGGGATATTTGCGCGACTGAGCATCGCAGATCCGTGACATCATCGTTCAGCGTATTATGGAAACTTCGAGAACCGCAAATCCGTGAAATAGACGAAGTTATTTATGTATAAGACGCGTCGCGCAAGAGGAAAACCCATTTTTTTCCTCCTCGAACACGGCAAACACGTTTATGGCGCGAACGCTCGAGTTAAGATTGACGCGGTTTAAAACGGACAATTAGTCACGGAGCACACGTGCGCGTTCCGCGCGCCGTAATGCGCCTTCTTCACCCGGTAAGACGGAAACTCGTGATTTCGAGCAAATACCAGCCAATTCCGTTTCATGGAAATGTTTTGCTTCCTTCTCACGGTGAAAATACGCGCAGATCGGCAGAAATAAATGCCGGGGCTCAATGAAAGATACATAACTGCGAAAAGCAAAACGGAAATTAGAGAGAATCGTTGGAGAGAAATTCTCATGCTTCAGACGATTCGCGAATTAGCACGAAATGTTGAAGATGAAAATTGTTTTGGATCTGTCGCTTTTGGAACCCGAATCTGTCAACTCGACAACAGTAATCACTTTCACTCCTTTGTTATTTCTGCATAATTAAACATAGTTGGGCGAATTCTTAGTAGCCTCGTATCGAAAGGCGATGCTGCACGTGAAGAGACAGAACTCGTTATTCGCCCTGACTTTAATCCGACCTGCACTTCCGAACTGCGGATTCGCATCGTTGTCCGGAGTCGACAACGCGTGCAATAAAGGTTGACGTTATCTAGAAGGAAGGAAGCATTGTTTACGGGCTCGCTTGAGTTTCGAGAGCGCTTCAATGTTTCCATCCGCTTCGCCTCCTCCCACTCGCGCGGCACCAACTTTTCCAGTCCTCGAAACACGGACACTGCAGTCTGGAATTCCAGCTGCATTTACGACGAGCAGAAAGAAGGAGAAAGACCGGAAGTTTCTCTAATCGCTTCCAAACAGCCAGCTGCTCCGGACTATTCCTAGACAATGTGGCGCTATTAGTTGCAGCCGTGTGGTTTCACGTACAATCCTTCATTTACCGAGCGCAGGTTGCATTCAATTAGCATTCCAGCAATCCGAACTAACTTTGTGTTCGAATAAATGTAAAACAATTCGTCATTCTTGAAAGTGTTGCATCAAATGCCTCGATATGTTTTTCGCGTAAAATTTTAGGAATAAACAATGAAATAACTAAATAACAAACTTTTGAAAATAAATAAACGACGATCTTTTAGCGCTTTTTTTTCCACGAACAAAATATGACAATTAAATTGCAAGTCCGCGCTAGAAGCTATTTTTCATTCTCGCAGTGGAATTAAAAATTCTTTGTGACGTCGTAGCGTGCAATTAATCCACGGATCCGTGAATCATGACAATTGCGGCGAAGTTTTCGCGAGAAACGAGGACTCCGGAATACATTTCCGCACATCCGGAGGGACACTCGTTAGGACGTAATGATATGCGGAAAACGTGTCGGCGTCGAAAAATTGCGATCCCACGAGTGTTCATTGTCAACAACGGTTGAAATGTCGTCCACGTGTGGAGGCTCGTGGATGACCAAATCGCGGTCGATGCCGATTAAGCCGCGGCCGCAATTTCGCATAATTTGAGGTGGTTCGCTATACGTGCGCCACTCGGAAAGATCCGTGTCATTTAGGCAGATTGCTATCGGATGCCCAATGATCAGATTCGATCGCGGCTAATAACCGACCTCGCCGCAGATTATTCGCATCAGCAACGCGGCTGCAATCTGAATCACAAATACTCGCGAAAGAGCTCTTCATTTGCGGCGCAGAGTGCATTTGGCGAGTATAATTTCATATTTCATTGTTTTAAAATATTTAACGCACTTTGTGCCCCGCATTTTTTTTCCTTTCGCGAAAAAATCTGCATCGCCCGATAATCTTCAGCGAGAGAATTCTATTTTTAGCCGCGTCACGGCAAAGGTCGTGTTCAAGTATGAAAAATGATCGCGCAGGTTGCAGTCTGCTTTTTACAACCGTACACTGTCATGTACGCGCTCACGGAAATGGATACGCCCGACTCGATGAGATAGCACAGTCAAATGTATGTCTTGCCTTGAACTGCCATTCAAAACTCGCTTGCCACGATATATCCAATGTACGTTTCAATTTGCGTTTGATTTATTGATATCAATATCGTTTGACAGTTTATCGAGTATACTTTTGCTTTGAATTTTTCGAATCAATTACTTGAAAAGTAATCTTTTGACGCAGAGTCATGACATTTTATATTAATTTTCTGCGAAAGAATGATATATTTTCAGCAACGGTAGCAACGATAAAAAACATTCGTTCAAAGCACGGGCGAGTCTCCTATTCGCAATTACAACGATTATACAAAATTAGCGAACGGAAAGAGAATTCTTTATCCGAATGCCTTTTCTATTGCAAGGACGAGTTCACACGTAAAGAACGACACAAAGGGAACTACGTCAGCTTTCATCCCTCACTGCTCGGCACAAGGCGTACAAAGAAGACTAGCATTTTCATACCTGACTGGGCAAATAATCAGCACAGAGGCATGAGATAATGTTCTCTTGTAACGACAGAGTGCGAAAAACGCGGCGTTCCCGTGGGAAGCTTCTACTATCATATTTATCCGACTCAATTCTGTTGATATCTGTGACTGGTCTCCTGTGCGCGCGACTGAAATTGTAAGAAACACAATCTCGACGGAATTACACGACAAAACCTTTGCCAGCTCGTTTGTATTCTTTGACTTACCTGACATGTCTCGCGTTGTTATCTCGCTTCCGAGATTCCATCGACAAAAGAAAAAAAAAAACGTACGTGAGACGCATATATATTGTACAATATATGTGGCA